GGCCAGCCATTTATTTACCAATATTACAGCCAAAGGATGGGCATCCACTGGGGGTCCAAGCCGTGCCAGGTGGGATATATATCCTCCCAGGGATCCTGGATGTAGCACTGGAGGAGACGGCTGGGCAGATAGGAAATCCTTTAGCAAGCAAAGGTGTGATGCTGAGGCAGTCACTAGTCTCCTTGTAGGAGTTGGACAAGAGGGAGAACATTCCCAAAGAGTTACTCTTTCTATGGAATGCTGGTTGTGATAGGGATGGTGGTGGCATAGCTCAGCTGGCAATGACTGGGAGAGATGAGCCGGGGGGGATGCTTGCTGTGCATCTCTTGGGAGGATGCTGTGCATGTTCGTGTGACAGCCTGCAACAGGACAGTGAGATACAGGACTCCACAAAATACAATGGCAGGGGGGGTTCCCGCAGCCATAAGGCATTGTTTCCTCTTTGTAGGGGAAACTGGAACCTACTTGGTACCTCAGACTCCACTTTCTCCACCTCATCCCTTTGCTCCTTCCCTGGTGAGAAATTTGAGACCCTCTTCCTCCATACTGTCCCCAGGAAAGCCCCCTGGCAAAGGAACCAGGGCCCTTCAGGGAAGCTAACAGCAGGTCTGAGGCCAGAGATTCTGATCATTCAGGTCCACGTTGATCTGCTGTTGTGGGTGGCTGTGTAGGCTGAGCTTTGGACTGGTGATGGCTTGAACTGTATGACACCACCACAGAAGTGTTTGAGCATTGGGTTTTTTGTCAGCACAGGTGCAGGAGGCAGGGTGGATTTCCAGGGAAGTCAGGGTCTGTACAATGGACAACACTGCACTGAAATCCAATTGGAGACACTGCGATGGAGAAGCTGGGGCTGGTGGAGGGCCTGTGCTGCAGCAGCCAGTCCCCTCATTGCTAGTCATTTGGGATATATCCCATTTGGATTTATTTGGCTTTTGAGTAAGCTTTCTGTTCTTTTCCCCGCTAGACCAAAGAGTTCTCAGTCTTTTACCCAGCCAAGAGTAAATCTTTTGGGGGTGTTGTTAATGCAAGCTGCCTTCCAGCCTCCTCTGAAGCTGGACAGAGATCGCTGCATTGAGATCAAGACTCACTTCTGTCCTCCACTCTTCCCACATCTGTTTTTAGTCTGGACACATCTGACCTCGCAGAAGGAGACACAGAGGAACCTTTCAGGCTGAAGGATTTTTGTGCTCCCCAGAGCCAGGATGCAGTGCCCTAGGAGCTGTGCCCTGTGCTTCTGCTTTGGGGTGGTGAATTCAGGCTGGGAATATAGTATTTCTTCACCCCTGGCAAAACAGCCTCCAGCTCGAGAAAGCACAGAAGTCCCAGATTACTGGATGCTGGGGTGTGGGTACACCCTCTTCCCTTCTCTTACCCCAAAGCATCCTCTACACACCATGCCCAGAAACAGGTACTTAGGGCTGCCTTAGGGCTGCCTTGTGTTGTGACCCCACCAATGCTGACTGAATGAATTTCCCCTCTGGTTCTTCCTGGTACATCTCTGGTCTTCCCTCCACCCCAAGGAGCTGCAAGAGGTGTTAGCATGGGCTGCCCCATCCCTGCAGATACTGTTCCCAGTGGCACCTCCTTTCCCTAGCTGAAGGGAGCCTTCTCAAGTCTATTTGGTCCCCTGTCTCCACCAAGGATTTGTACAGTCAGACCATCCACAGCAAGCCAGAGCCCAGATGGCAGCCGAGCTCTGCAGCCGTCTTTCATCTGACATTTGTATTTGTTCCAAAAATCTTGAGCCTCTCATTTGGTTTTAGCCTTGTATATGTTTTGTGTGGCAGACACACTCAGAGACACAGTGTGTGTGACAGAGCTGTTGGCTCAGCATGACTCTATTTAGTCCCTAGTTTAACTGGCCCGTGGCCGCAAGGTGGGTCCCATGGCTGTCTCTCCTGGCACTGTGGAGCTGAAGGTGCAGGAGAGGTCATGTCCATCCCTACTTCCATGAGGAGTTTGCAGAGTTCTGGCCCAGCCTGGGCTCTGTCTGTTTGGCCTGTCCCACCCAGCTTCCAGGTGCTTGGACCAAATCCAGATCATGATTGGTTAATGTCCCCTTCATAAATTCCTGCCTCATGCGTCATGTGTTTGTGAAGGGCTCGGTGGACACCTCTGGAGATGGGAAGGTTGGGAGCAAAGCTGAAACCTGGGGGAGATAATGTGGATAGTGCCCCATGCCCTGCAAAGTGGTCGAGCTGAAGCAACCTTTGCCAGGCTGGTACGTCTTTGGGCCACGATGCTCTGCCTTGCCCCCTGAGGCACAGCAGCAGGGATGTGCCAAGGACCTTTCCCATTAATGCCTCCCACTCCACCGCTCTGGCACTTTACTCCCAGCTGCAGACCTCTGAGTATGATTGCCACTGCGGTGCTGGGAGAAGCAGTAAAAGCTGAACCCGGGGTGGACAATAAAGCCAGCCGAGAGTAGATAAGCGGGGATCAAACACGGCGCAGCAGCCACCCCACGCTGGACTCTCAAAGGTCCCTTTGTTCCCCACTGCCTCCTGATTCAGTGCCGCGCTGCCTTCAAGGGCTGCGGGGGAGATAGCAGGGCTCCCGGGCAGCCCTGCCTGCAGCCCCTGGCAGTTGGGCAGCCACCTGCACGCCCGGCAATAAAAAAGGAGGATTAATTCCAGCCACAGGACTGATCCCAGTTGCACACCGAGGCCTGATAAGATATCTCGCTGGTTCCTATCATCCAGGCAATAAAACCATTACTGGGGTGGGAGATGATGGAAGAGATGCTTGCTTTCCTCCTCATCCCGTGCTTGCTTGCCGAGGGGATGTCCCTCCAGCCCTGCTGTCCCCTGACCCGCTCTCTGCTCCACAGCAGCCCCACAGTCTGGCTTTATGGGGAAGGGCCGCCGG